TTGGGATTATTTCACGTGCTGATCATGATTGTAGGGTCCACTTTGTTCGCTACTGTCCAACGGGGACTACGGTAGCAGTACGGTGAAATTTTCATGAAAATTAAAAAAGCGATGTGAGAAATCAAAAACTGATGTAAGAAGGGTTAATAGAAATTGAGACTAACATTTTCGTAGTCAGCATGCTACAAAACATATACAGGGTGTCCCAAAAAAATGTTAACACTGTTTGATTGTTAATAACTTCCTGGCTTTCAAGTGTTTCGCCGAGCTTTAGGCACCATTTTGTAGAGCGAGGACAAACTTAGATTCACAGCATGGAGCGAATCATCTAGCGCTCCTCGTTACTGTAGAATTACGGTAGGAAATTTGACAAGGATTTTAGGCTATTAAAGGTCATTTTCTGCTTTGAAACAAAGAGAAACAAGCCAAAATCTCTTGTACTATGGTAATGAAGACCGCTGATTTCGGATATGAAATTTTAATTTTATTATGATACTTCTTTTTGAAGTTATCATAGGTAAAAGGTAATATCTGAGTTCCCAGCATGTGTCAAAAATGTGATTACACCGTCCAAAATAGCTGAAAACACTCATAAAAAGTTGTATAGTAAAGTCAACGTGCGCGAAAACCCTAGTACACGATTTCTCAGATTTTTTGGAAAAATTCTGTCAGATGACCTATTTCACTCGTTCCACATGCTGAAAGTTCTTACCATAATCCTACAGTAAAAGAACGAATGGTGATTCGCTCCATACTATCTATAAGTCTAAGTTGAACCTCGTTCTACAGAATGGTGCCTCAAGCTCGCCGAAAGACATGAAATCAAGAGAGTTATTAACGATCAAACAGTGTTAACATTTTTTTGGGACACCCTGTATATGTAAGATTTCAGCTTTCTGAGAGAACAATACAAAAAATCAACGAAATCAATAAAATCAATATTAGCTGATGGGAACAGCAGTCTCTTGCCTGCCCCATATTTTCAGAAACAGCATCATTCTGCAAAGAAATCGAGCTATGCCTTATCCCTATTTACCGTATATCTACCGTAACATTACATCATAGTATCCCGAGCCCGGACCACTCTGGCTGGTGCTTCTCCTAAGTGTCTCCAATCATGTGCCATAACCCCTTAAAATCCATTGTAAACTGGCAGAGCTAGAGTTTCAGGAATCTTACGACCCACCGGTGGGTCGTATTCTCGTGAATTTTTAATTGACATGGAGATTGTGTCACACTTTTTTTTAGCACGCCCTCTAAAAATTTTTGGTGAGGAAGAGCGCAGAGCTTATCAGGACTGAACACAAATGTAAAGCCAGTTTTAATTCGGCGATCTAAAACATGTCACTTCGAGAACTAGTTCTTTACGATTTTACAAAACTGTTGAATTGTTGCAATCATCTCATGAAATCAGCGAACGGGTGTACTCGACTGGTATCCGAACAATATGTATCTTAGTAAAAAAATTAGCCTTGTAGAATCGGCACAAACTTTAGAGTTTTCAGCTTTTCCGAAAACTTTTTCTTAATGTCAAAATCAACTTCATATTTTGCCCCTTAATCCAATATTAGTGAGCGCAGATAGACTATCTTTTTAGACTGCAAAAATAGACTGAAGCTAGTTCTTCAACGGAAAGCTCAAAGATTTGCAGAAACTATCAAGACAAAAGAGCTATGTATGTTTGTGTGTAGGGTAAACAGTACCTAGACTTCACTTATCTTGACTTAAATTCGTAGTGTTGTTTGCTTCAAAAACCATCATCTTTTGGTGTATGACGCAAACAGTTCACTTCTTAAATGAAATCTTAACAACCAGAAGAGTCACGTCTAAAACCTGACACAAAAGCGACATATATAAACAAAGTTACGACGTTACAAAGTTAGGCTTGAAGAACTTTGGGAAACCTTCTGGGGCATCACATGGTAGAGGAAAGCAAGCTCCACCAGCTCTAGATACTCGCATAAATTGCTATTTACATGAAGTTCGAAGCCATAGCCCAAAGCATTTGATCATCCCAAAATTTGGATATTTTTCTATTAGGTTGGTGCAAAAGTAATGCGCGTTTGGCGAGTTCTCAATTTGCGTGTTATAACTTTCTAAAAAATCTACATTTTCCAATGCGGTTAAAAAAACATTAGATGCACCAAACCTTTCACAATACAGCGCACATCTCAATATACTCATATCTCCAACGGGCAGAAAAATATGGACTGATAAACAGAAAAAGTTCTTTTCTGAAACTTCAAATTTAACTGATCATAGCTTTCTTCAGAATATGTCAATGTAGATAACAAGTAGCCTATGTTGTAGCCGAAAGCCTGTAGTACAAAAAAAGTGGAAAAGGGCCAAACAGAGAGAATTTGGGAAAAGGAAAAAAATTCAAAACCAAAATTGCCAGCTTTTTTGGGCATTTTTTCGCATGCGTAAAAACCCCAAAATATAGAATTTTTTTTTGGATTTCTGCGTAACGAACAGATACACAATTCTGTAAAAACTGCCAATAGGAGGCCCACCCTTACGCTTACAGAAATGAGCAAAGGTTTGGTGAATGCCCTCTTAAAAGGAAATTTATGGATCACAGAATGATCAAAACGACTGCCCATGTTGAAGAGCCGAAATCTTAGCTTAAATAATTTCTGAGAAAATAATAAAATGTGCATAATGTAGACAATTTCCACTTAATATATTAGCTAAAGTTTCGTAAGTTTGCTTTTATCCGGGCTTGATTTCAGGCCAGAGATGTAAATGCAATGAAATTCTCTTTTTGAGTGCGGCTGTGTGAAGCTCTCTTATATTCTAACTAATGAAGCTAGAAGCTCGTTTCAACCATCATTGGATAGAGGATGAAAGGAGCTTCTTGAAAGTGTGCTAAGTTTTTTCCAAAGAAGAAAGTTTTGTGGAGAAAGTTGTTCTGAAAGAAGGGCTAAAAAACGCGCATTACTTTTGCACCAACCTGATAGAAGAATACTACAAATCTCATACTTCCCAATAATTATCCCAAAAAAGCCAAAAAAGCCAAATATTGCTTTTTTCTACCTCATTTCACTTTAACGGGTAAAGAATCCATTTCTTGAAAGTTTTCTGTTCAATTTTTGCACATTTTGTTGACCTTCTGGAATTTTTCTCGCCCGTTAAATGTGTATGATTTTTGAGAGACAGCAAGAATTCTCAGTCAATCATGATGTCTTTTTCTTCCTCATAAGATATGAATTGTTACCGATCTTACCAAATAAACAAACAAACAAAAAATACTTAGCCTGCTTGTAACAGACCAGCACGGGTATGCATATAGCATAAAAAATCCCTAAAAAGCAACAATTTCGTACTTTTAGCACATTTTCGTGAATAGTTAGGAGTTTCGCAACTGCATGTAAATTAGTACTGTTCGCCATACGATTGACTAGTGGGAGCTTTGTAGATTTTGGGAGAAGTTTTGCTTTCCAGTGATAGAATTTTTCTATATTTTGGCAAGAAACGTTACACGAATAACTCTATGCAATCTTTCAATCTACTTTTTCCAAATCGAAGTTTTCCTTAGAAGAGCGAAGGGTTTTCTGAAGGTCATAGGTGTTAATACGAAGATTTATTCACAGATTTGTAGAGACAAATTAAGTTTTGTAGATCGCATTGTACAAAATGCGACAAAATGCTGACTGTGCTCACAACTAGATATGAGAATGGAATCGATAGCAGAAAAACAGCTCAAGATTTCCGGTATGGACGAATAAAAAATACAAAGAAAAGTGGAAGAGCAATGGGAAACGGAAGGAAAAAGTTGACGCATCGACAGAGAGCCGGAAAACGATGACGGCTGCCTAGGCGCGCGGAATGATACATCGTAGGCAGAATACGGAATAGATCGGACAATATTGGACTGCGGTGGACAGAAATGTAAACAAAATGTGCGAAGTCACTCAAGACACCATTTCAACGAATATGGATTGCGTGGGATATGGTAGGATTACTGTAAAGTTACGGTAGTTGCACGGTAATGATAGTGTAAACATGCTGTACTCGCAAAAGGTCGGAAACTGAGAAATGTAAGATTGTCGAAAGCCACTCAAGACACTATTGAAACGACTGCGGTTTAGTTTGAATATGGTAGGATTGCTGTACGGTTACTGTAATCGTACTAAAATAGTACAAGCATACAGTAACTTCGGAATTTCGGAATGTCTTAGGGTTATGCTGAGTTAAACCGCAGTCATACTGTGATTATACTGCAGGTATACTGTCCGTCAAAATATTTTGGTTTGGTGGCATAGGTGGATGGTTACAGTAATTCAAAGCGTAAACATGCTGTAGTACTACGGTAAGCATACTGTAATCCATTTATAGAACTGTGAATAGCTCTTATATAGTATTACGGTAGTCAATTAGTAATAATGTACATAAGCATACTGTGAATTATCGAAAGATTATGAATTAGATGGGTTATAGAAAAACTACCGTGGGTTAAACTGGTGTCATACTGTAGTGATACTGTAAGCATACTGTAACCGTTGTGAAAACTGTGGATTAGAAGGGATATGATAGGATCACTGTACAGTTTACTGTACACTGTATTTATACTGTAATTATACGGTAACCATACCGTAAACATATTGTAATAACAAGAAAGATAGTGGAAGTAAAAGTGCAAGATTGTCGAAATTCGCTTAATAATACTGTGTGAATCAAATGAAACACGATGCTCTTTGCTCTTATGATAGTGTAGTCATACTGTAGGTATAAGTAATCGCAAAAATGACATAAACTGTAATTCTCCTTGATTTTTAAGTGCACAGAACATAGAATTGGGAACAATATGGAACACACTGGGCTTAGGATTCAACAACGAAGTGTTCGTGAGAGAATTTGAGGCGTTGTGTGTTCACTTGGGCTCGAAAATTACGGTAAACAATGACGCTCTAATTTGGGGGCACTCGAGCATTTCGAGGACAAGCGACGAATCCGCTCCGACGAGCAGGCCGCGTATCAGCCCCAGTCCACGAACGAATTGCTCTGGCCACCCAGGATCACAATGCAAATCGATAAAATCAATAAATGAATCATATTTGGAAAAAAGTAGTGTCGATCAGACGATTTCCGCATCTTTTGGCGTACAGCCGATAACTGTATCTATCGGCTCATTCGGTGCTGGACCCGCCTCACAATCGTCTTCATCTTGTGGAAACAACGAATTGTAGTCTTCCATCAATGGATCTCCTTCAGTGTCTGTAAACAGATGTGCTATTGTATTTGGAGTAAATCCTCTTAGTCAATGCTGGAAAAATCGAATTCTGTCGATGCCGGTTTCGTTTATTCATGAACCGCGCCCGCTAGCGCAATGTTGACCCAAACCTTCAAGGGGCGGCTTTTCGCCGGTATGCAAAGATTTCGCGTTTGGAGAACATTTCAGCAAGATTTTTACTCATTTGAGAAGTCTGAGAAGTTCTACAAGATTGCGTGATATTCCTAGACTTCTGCTAAACAGTAGAGTAAGATAGTAAATTTCAAAATTAATAGATAAAATTTTAAAGGGAAAAAATCTTGATTAGAATTCTTTCATGAAACAAAATCTAACGCCAATACAGACAAAACTATACTAAAATGTTAATCACTACAACTTTATAACTGAACTACAAATTATCTGCTGAGATGTATGTACAATCTGACTAGAACCTTAACCCCTTCCTAGGTCAAACTTTCTCGAAAATCAAAAATTGTTATTGAATCAGAAATTCTTTATCCTCTCTATCTCGAGTCCCTACTTTCTCTTTATTTTCTACGCAATTAAATGATTAATAAGCGATAATCTGACTTAGTACGACCTTAATGGCAACGTCATACCCATCTTTTCCAAATATTTTTGCTCCCAAACTCTAGAACAGCAAGGGCACACGATTTTGATGAATCATTCACTACTCTTAGCAAGCCAAGCAGAAAGTTCACTTCAATATTTTTAGTGCAGATTAGCTGAGTCAGCATGCATACATACATACATAGTGCTTGATATGGTCCCAAAACGATCGAGTTTGAGTTTAGCTATTAGTTAAGAAACTTTTGATGAAGAAACAGCTAGATTAGTCCGTACGAAAAATTTGCTAGTGAAGGCAAATCGCAAGTTGTGAAATATGCAAGCTCCGGAAAGAGAACAATGATTTTTCGAGAAATCCCTTCATATGAAAAAAAGGGTATAGCACACCACTGTAGATAATCATTCCTCACAGTTTGGTAGAAAAAAATCAAAAGCCTCAAAAATCTTAGAATACACGCCTTCGACAGATGAAACTTATTTAGTGAATGGTTTTTATCTGGAAGGTTCATCTTTATATGTCCTATTTTATCTTAAGTCAGTACTGCTTACATACATGATGAGCTTTTGATGAAACGAATACATAAATGACCAAAACAATCTCAAAATAGACCAATTTCACAAAGCGCTTTCAAATGAACCCATGGAGAGCACAGGTCACATATATTTGAATAGGACTAAATACAAAAAGGCCATCGTAAACGGACACGTTCATCAAAGTGCTAATGCGACATCTCTGAAATAATGCTATTTTGATTTCATATTTGAAAAACAACTTCGTTTAGTGCAACTACATGAAACTTTGATAAACTCTCGTACAAAGATGCAAACTCAAAAAATCAAATTTCGGAATTTTCTTGAGCAGCAACTTTGTGGCATGCTGATTAGAACTATACACCTTGGTCTTGCTGAGCATCCCTATTAATTCATTAGTACTCATTATAATGCGATTAGATACTGATATACGTGCTATTGTAAGAATCTAACACCAAAATGATTGTCATAGTGGTTACTGGGTATGCAGACGGTAACGGGCCAAAATCATAGATTTTTATGATAAGATCTTTTACCGTATAACTACCATAAATCCAATTGTTTGAAAAACTCGGAAATCTTAACCGCTGTCGTCTCACTAACGTGAAACTGACGTATTCATCCAATCTTTAGACCCAAAATTTTCAGCACATTTGGATTCAGTTCAGGCAAAAAAACTGATTTTGTGGTAACGAAAATAAACCATTTTTGACCTTGCAGTACCGTAATTTGGACAAGGCGAAAATTACTTTGCTTTGCGCCGCAAAAATCAAAAATAAAATTAGACAATAATGAACTTAAAGTGAAAAAAATGCTTACCACAATTCCACCAGCAATTATTGGTGATAGTAACAAGTACAACAGCAATAATAGCAAAGGCTAGAACGAATAATGAAAGTACGGCAAAGGCAAAGCCGAGAGCTGCGTGTTCGACAAACGACGACGACAGCATTACGTCATCTGAAAACGAAGACGTTGCCTAGTAATCTCCATTATAATACGAATGTCTCAAATAAAAGAATGGGCACGAATGAAATAAATGGGATACGCAAGCTTAAAAAATGAGATACAAACCGGGCACCGGGAAATGCCCCGGTGCCATCCGGTGGATGAGGGGCAGCTGTGAGAATGACGAAGGATTATTAGGAAGAATGGGATATGAGCAAGAAGAACGCATTTGAATAACGAAGCCCCCCATAAGACTGAAGCCCTTTCGAAGTCTGCAAGTTGCTCGTGACGCAGGAGCTCAATGCATTTCGAAAAAAATTTTGCGAATTGAAAATGCAAGAGAAAACAAACTAATCAATAAAACGTGCCAAAGTGTAAAAATAATAATGTATTGTTACGTTAGTTCGTTACACTTTCTTTAAGTCTCCCTTTAAAAAGCCTGAATTCGGGAAAGTCTCACACCTGGCGTATATGTGGAGGGAACTAAGGGCTACACTACTACCATTTTCGCCCTTTACGGGCTTGAGCTACAGAAAGCAAAAATGGAATTTTCTTATTGCCCTTCAACCCTTTTCTGATTTTTCAAAAATTTTCTCACTCTTTTTTTGTCATACTTTTATTTTTATGGACTTCTGGAAGCATCGGCAGTAAAGCGTAGCCTGAAGGTTTAAGTTCTCCAATATTGCAGGTTGGTTGACAAAAATAACTTTAGAGAGTTCCAAAGAACTTACGAATTGTATTCTCTGTGTGACATATATTCATAGAAAATCCTCAGTTATCCAAAAAATTTGAAAATGAGGAAAATTTCAGAAACTCAAGATTTTTTTGTTGTGTTCAACAAAACACGATTTACGTCCTGTTGATAATCTCTAAAATAATAGTGGAGGAAAATGAATGGTTTTTTGCACGCTTTTTGCATCTCCGATCCAAATAATTTGATGTGAGCATACTTGCCCCAAATTCTTGACTGAAATTTCATGTTATTCTTCATTTTCACGTTAGTTTGCAATCGGCCAAGTTAATCATGCTGTTTTTTCATCAGTTTGCACATTTATAGCAAAAAAAAAACCCTCTATTCCTCGTCCGTAACTGCACCACAATCGCCCCCCAAAAACTATGTAGTTCCTTTGAATTTTTCTTTTATCCAATAACATTACAATCTCAAACCCCATGAGAGTCACATCAAAACTTGTAGATAATTGTTTGATATACCTTAACGAAGGAGTTATGAATTGTGCTTCGAAGATTCAAGTACAAATTGCAGGAAGCAACGGTAGAAAAAAATAATCAGATTGATTCAATGTGATTTTTTAAACAGAAGCAAGTGAAAGCCTTTGAGCCTTCAGAGAGAAATACTATAAAAGTCACTCCTCATTGCGAGCAGGTTTGTCAAATGATGAAATAATGTTCCATATTTTAAGCTTTGATTATTTCCAAGAAACTGATTTCCGACATTTTGAATGACGTCCTAGTTAAATAATAATGGCGTTTTCGATTGCGTGCCATCCGGCTCTGCTTACAAAAACAATTTCTCAAAACACAGCTTACATTATCATCCAAATATCTCACGCAAGCATATCAAGCATCTTTTTTGCTGTCTGGTTCATTCGTAAAGCTTACAACGCATTTTTCTCACAGCTAGCAAAAAAAACAAATATTTAACAAGCCTTGTTAGTTGTTTCACAAGCGAGAAGTCCAAAAGGTCGAGCTGAGCATTTCTAAGAATGAACGAAGCCAATTTGGAGATAAATTGCGTCATGAAAATGTTAATGTGAGCAGCAAATTGATTGCGTGTCACGAGAATGACCGTTAGGCGAGGTTAACTGGGTAATTAGCGGAACGCATAATCAATTTTTTTCAGTGCTTCAACCTTTTACTATTTCACTCTTTACAGTGATATGTCTGTAATACTGAGTGCAGAAATGCTAGATAAGTTTTTATTGCGTATCTTTCATTCAGTTGTGGAAAAAAGGAGTGGTGAATGAAATACATCAGATTGAACTCACTCATTCGCGCCGTATTCAAAAAATCGTAGCTTCTTCCCATTTCGATGTTTTTGCAAGAGATTTCTTGAAAAGAGCGAAACAAATATTTTATAAAATTTCTTAAAGCCTTTCTGGTAACGATAACTGTTCCACTTGCAGAGACAGAAGTTGTGAAAGGGAATCATCCAAGTTTCGGTGATTTTATTCCATCAAAATTGAGAAACCATGGAAGAAAATCTAAAATATTTACTAGCCCAGATTTAGAGCCCGCTTTTCAGTTGAAGAAATTAAAAGAAAAAGATCTGATGCTGGTCGAGCTTGTCTGTGGAAAGTTATGATTGAGGAAAATGTCAAAAAAAATAATTTTGTCTCTTTATAATAAGCTTGCAAATCATAACTTATTTCCTTGAAAGCTCGACCAGCACATTGATCAGTCAAAAAGAGAACGATGTGATAATCTGATAATAATTGTTTTCGAGTTTTCACTGCATGATTTTAGATATTTGATAAGCCTTAAAATCATCAAAACTTCGTTCTGTAATTTTTGCCTAAACAATCGAGCTTCTTCCAGGAAACTTCCAAAAGGCTATTAGAAAACACGTGAATCATTTCACAAGATTCATCTTTACTGAAGCCCATCTTGCAAAAACATGGAGAAGATGAAAATTACGAATTTTTATATAGAGCGAACGATCTCTTGGTTTAACCTAAATGGCTTACAAGAACAAACATCTCTCCCAGATAGAAATTTAGATTATTGACCTTTAATGAATAGTACGCTAAAAATCAAACTATGCTAATTCGGATACAGAACTTGATTTCTGCACTATTTATGACCTCTAGAAAATTGAAATGGAAAGATGCAAGTTCAGAACTAATTTTACATATGCACGTGCCGTGCTCCCTAAGGATTTTAATCACTATATATGTAGTTATTTGAATAGCTCGGTATAACGACACCTACCCACATTTTCAGAAACACAACAACAGGATATGGCAGCAGGGTTCAATAGTGAGAAAAAATTTTGAAAATATTGGTCCCAATTATTTGGTTTTTTAAACATGAGCATAGGCAACGTTGGAAGCATTTTGTTACGTAGGGTTTCGCAAAACAAAACTTCAGAGAAAAAGATTATGCGAATAGCAATGAACAATAAGAGAACTACATTAATCCTTCTGCGAAATGCTTTAGTACTACCTATGAATACATGTTCCACGCAAAATTTGTTCAAAAAATATACATGCGTAAGACCATGCTACTTTCTGCGTCATAGCATCTAATTCTTCAAAGAAGTAAATGAGCAGTAAATCAGGAACGTTTGGTAGTAGTCCATGTATAGCTCCTCTTCGGATGGATGACCAATATGTTGATGATGCAAACAGCCCCAGGCATAACACACACCATCTTATTAGATTACTATTTTTGGCTGAACGACTAGCTCTCAAGAATCTATAGTAAGCTGGGCAAATAATTTTTCAATATTTTATAGGCCATATATAAGCCTTGAGATTTCAAAAAAATGTGCAAAATTTGAAAATTTGGCTTTAATATGTCCCTAAAAACCTTTCAATTTGAAGTTTATGGTTTCGCCAAGTTGGACTGCTATGAAAATGACTCATCCCATTTTACGATTACTTTCTAAGAACCAATGAGTTCATACTCCAGAGTTTTGCCAAAAATAAGAAACGAAATATTTAAGAGCAATGTTGTCCTGGTAAGCTTTTGAGAGAAGCCGAAGTGACCGAAATTATCCCTGAAAAAATTCAGCCCACAAAAAAATTTGCAATTCAAGAAGAGCAGGATAGCATAGCATTACAGCTGAATTGAAGCTTTTTTGTTTTTTGAGAGGAAATTGAGAAATCAGGCTTTAAGCTTAATTTACATTCAGTCCACACCCGTCCCTCAACAAGAATGAGCTGATGAAAAAATTCCCGAATCTGAACAATGAAATGACGGCTGATTTTGCTTCCACCAACAAAAGTCCGATAACAATTTCGATTTTGTGCAAAAGGATGGGCTATCTCAGCAGAAAACTTATTAGCTATCCATCTTTGGGCGGATTTACTGGGCGGTTAAACCATTAGACCACGACTTAAGCTTCTTTCGAGCGTAAGCTAGCTTTATAACAAAAAATAGTTATCTCTTCCACTTATTCACGCATTCCTATACTTCCCGCTTCCATCTAAGCGAACGAGCTGCACAGTCTTTATTTAGCGCTTTGACGCAAAGCTGATTTTTAACCTTGAGGCATCTTCTTACGTCAAATGAAAATCAAATGCCAACTCTGCGATAAATATAGGTCTAAACGGCTTGAAAATTTTTCATAGATTTATAACTTCCTTCCAGTACGATATCTAGTACAAAAAATATACGAACTCAATAAGAAGAGTGACCTAAGAGAAGGCATTGACAAAATTATATTCGAGGTACGTGACCAGGAATGAAAATTTAAAAAAAAAACTTGTAGCAATCTCACAGATTTTCCACAGATCAATGAATGATATTTTCTGAAAATTGTAGCTACGCATTTCTCATAGAAGTTTTTATCTGAGGAAAATAATCGGCCAAACAAGTAATATAACATCAAAATTACGGGAGCAAAGTTTCAAAAATGAAGTTTTTTGCAGCATTTTTCAAAGTCATGTCCTGGTCTAGTTGTGTCCATTATTGTAATGGAAATGAGAACAAAATTACGACAAGTAACAAGTACAATTATGAGGGTTTGATTAAAGGATGATGTATCGATGGAAGCACGGATAGAAATTTCACATAAGAATTGTGCAGATTACGGACCTTACAGTAAAATCGGAGCAGCTAAAGGAAGCATGCCCCAACCAAAGTTTGCTAAGTGTGAAAAAATGAATTGAACATGGTTTTGTTGTTTTTGTTAATACTAGTGTAATTCTTCATAGAATCGCGTTTTTGACGCACAGAAATAATTGCTGACATAATATTTTAACAGCTATGAAAACTTTATCTTTTTTGTAAACATAAAACAAAAGTCTGGGCAGACATGGAGTCGAGCGGA